ATCCACTGCAGAACTTCCTTCCTATCTCGCCTTTTCGTGATGTAATCGGCCGCCCCTTTTTCCATTTCTGCTCGGGCGCAGGGTCTTCATCACCGTGTTTGGTCTATCACGCATCATCTCCGTGTCCATCCTAGCCTTGACGTTGTCCTTCGACTTTTTTGCCAACGTCCATGAGTGTTGCCCAGAGTGCCTCGGCCACATTCTTTTCTGTGCATTACATCGATGTTGTGTGGAAGAAGAAGGTCCTTGAAGTAGGGGAGCCTAGTCAAGCCCGATATATGAGTCCACATGTGGTCCCGAAAGCATATCCCTTAAACCCACCTGCTTCCTCGTGTTCGAGAGCCTCAGATGTCGGGCAGGGACGGCGGCGGGGCTCTTAACTCCGCGAATGGGGCCGGTGACTTGAACGCCTTTCGTGAAGTGCTTTACATCTAGCCTGAATTCATGGTTCTCAGGCAGGAATTGGCGATGCTTGTCGAAAGAAGAAAACTTGCCGCCCTTGGCCAGCCAGGTGAACATCACATCTGCCTTGCATGTCGGGCAAGGGAACTTCCCGTGAACACACCACCCGCTGAATAAGCCATACGCCAGGAAGTCATGCATTGAATACTGGTACCACACATGCATTCTGAAGTTCCTCTTCGTAGCCCGGTCGTACGTGAGTACCCCCTCTTCCCAAGCAAGTTCCAATTCATCCCACACCGGCTGCATGAACACACCCATATTGTCGCCCGGGTGTCCAGGTATTATCAGCGTCAAGAGCACGTTCTTAGGTTCAAACATGACGCCGGGGGGGAGATTGAGGGGGATCACAAACACGGGCCAGCAAGTGTACGGGGCCGCCATCATTCCAAACGGGTTGAACCCATCTGCATTGCCGGCCTACGCTGCAGACATTCCGAGCCTCCATAGCCTTGACAGATTCATGTTATCGAAGTGCTTCCATGCATCACCGTCTCACGGTGTACCATCTTGTCGATGGTATCTTTTGCCATTCTTGTGCCACGTCATCTATTTCGCGGACTCCTCCGTCATATACAGCCGTTGCAGCCTCGGTAGGAAAGGAAGGTGCCGTACGACCTTCTCGGGGACCTTAGACTGTTTCATGCGCCATCGAGCCTTCTACCAACACGAACCTAGAGGCATCGCGCTTCGACAGTGTTTTTGCTTCCTCGAGGTCTCCCCCAGCAGACGCACTCCCTTCTTCGACAAGCATGGATCCCCTCATACGGCATCTTAAGTGCACGAAGGAGCTTCGTAGCGTAGGTGTTCGTCGGCGGACATGATCTGCCGGAAGCAGTCCCCAACAATGCTCAACACGAGATCGAAGCCGCCTCGACTAATGCCCAAATTGACTTCAACCCTATCAGCGTGAGACGGCATCCATTCATGTAAGCTTTGTCTTCTCATGAAGGGGCTTCGTGCCGACTCCATCATGTCGTAGAAGGCCTTCGCGGTTTCTCCGGATCTTCCTCCACATCCATTCCTTCGCCAAACCGCGTAGCTTCGTGGAAGTTCGCCATCATGTCGCCATCCCGCATCACCATCATACTCCTCGAGGACGGGTCGCACCACCTCGTCCCTAATAGGATGGTATTCACCATGGTGGCGCCAACGGGTATAGTTTGGAACGAACCTGCTTGAACAGATCTCTCAACACCGAGCCTTTACTTTCTTCTTCTTGTTCCTCGCACTTCACGCAGGGGACACGATCCGAATCGACCCTTTAGCAAATTGGGCCAAATGCATGCTCCAGAACTCGGTCGTCCCCTGATCCATTTGTGGCTCTTACTTGCGGGCCCGAGTACATCCACTCACGGTCACCCATGCTCATCATGCGGCAATGTTAACATGTGATAAAACCAGCAAGTGCATCTACAACGCTCCCCTACCATCTAATAGGTGAAGGATAGGTCCTAATCCCACTGAAGATCATGCAGAGACGAGGTTAGCTTCCATAGCTCATTCGTCCTAGACGGAATTTCGGCAGCACTTCCTCATTGTTCTCCCGATACACGCCCCGGCGGGGAGAGTGTGTATCCAGAGAATAACGGGAGGTCTCGCCAAACTCCGACTTCGGACGGAGCGGAACATGGAGAGCTAACCTCGCTCTGCAGATCCTCGGCTGTCCAAATAACGTGGACAATCCGAAATGGATACGGTTATACATATGCGAAGAACGATACTTCCAACCGTATCCGTTTTGGACGGGAGACGCCTTAACCGGGTAACGCGACCTCGACTACATGTGGCGGAAAGAGGGGTCATACCGCAGTGTGCCGTGAAGAAAGGCTAGCGGGCAAGGTCTGAGTCGTGTTCCTCCGGCTAGCCTCCAATGGGAGCCCTCCTCAAAAAGAAAAACAATTAGTGAGAACGAAAAATTTGGCAAAGACCTCCCATCGCATGACGGAAGGTTACCAAACCTGCAAGAAAAAGACGGCACGATGGCCGACAAACACATATACATGTCGTGCACGATGGCCGACAACCACAAATGTATTTCCAATCCATGCGAGAATATATAGCGTATTAACAAAGTAAACTACTACTACTAGTAGTACTACTACCTCGTCATCACGGACGGCGAGGCGAGGACGGCGAGGCGAGGATGGCGCGAGGCGAGGACGGCGACGCAGGCAGCGGACGGCGACGGACGCGCACGGCGGACGGCGGGCCAGAGCGGCACGCCGGATCGGGTGGGGCAGCCGACGGCGCCGGGGCAGGTCGGGCGAGGCCGCTGGCAGGCCGCGGGCCGACGCCGGCCACGCGGCCATGGCCGACATGGGCCGGGCCGGATCGAAGCCGGCAACACGGTGAGGGGGTGAGGCGGGCGGCGGCCACGGGGGGCCCAGCAACATGGGTGGCCCAGGTGGCCCAGCTGGGAGCGCGGGGGGGGCGCCACGGGATGGCCAAGGGCCGGGAGGGACCAGCAGGGGGGGCCGCCACCGGAGGGCCGCCACGCTGGGAGGGCGCCAAGGCCGGGAGGGGCGCGCGGGCCGGGAGGGAGGCGCGAGCCGGGGGGGGCGCGGGGGAGGCGACGTGGGGAGGACCAGCAGGGGGCGCCACGGAGGGCCACGCCACAGGGGAGGGCGCCACCGGGAGGGGCGGGCAGGCCAGGGGGGCAAGGCACGGGAGGGCGACGCGCCGGGGTGGACCAACATGGGGCACGGGGGAGGGCCACGCCCATGGGAGGGCGGCCACAGGCCACCGGGAGGGGCGCGGGGCCCAGGGAGGGGGCTGGGCACGGGAGGAGGAGGGAGGAGGAGGAGGATTTTGGGGCAAGGGCGGGATTTTGGGGAGGGGGAGGGCGGCCGAGCGGATATGGCGACGTTTTTTTTTTTTTTTTTTTTTCCTTTGCCGATCGCCAAAGATGTGACGCAATCGGCAAAGGTCTATTTTTTTTTTTTTTCAAAAAATTTTTTTAATTTTTTTAAAAATACTTTGCCGATCGCTTCCGCTCCCAGCGGTCGGCAAAAGGTTATTTTTGATTTTTCTCGAGAAATTCTTTTGCCGATCGCCATCCTCCCCGGCGTTCGGCAAGGCTTCTTATAAATCAAGCATTGATGGCGGTCGGCAAAAAATTAATTAATTTTTTTTCGATTTTGATCCCAGTTTTTTGTGTTGCCTTGATACTGATAGTACATGATATATTCCAAGTTTGGGGTCATTTTGATTTATTTTGCTATATTCCCTTGATTTTTTTCTTTTTCTTTGATTTTTTTGGCTCTCAGATTTGAACCGCAGTACATGAAATAATGGAATCCGGCCATTGAAAAATGATATTCATGATGTTTGGAGCATGTTGAGGCCGTGTCAAAGCGGGCCTCGCGTGAAATTTCGACCGTGTTGGTGTCGGAACACGCCGAGCCACCAGCGTGAAAAGTGTTTTAAATTTTATAAAATCGAAACGAGTCCGAAAATGACGAAACTTAACGACGTGTCTTGTCATCGCATGTGAGATGTCCAGTTTTAGCCACCCGACGTCGCCACTTGCTCGAAACTTTCTCAAATTTTTACCACAGCCTCGCATGCGATGACAAGACACGTCGTCAAGTTTCGTCATTTTCGGACTCGCTTTGATTTTATAAAATTTAAAACACTTTTTTCACGCTGCGTGGCTTCGGCGTGTTCCGACACCAACACGGTCGAATTTCACGCGAGGCCCCGCACACGGCCTCAACATGCTCCAAACATCATGAATATCATTTTCAATGGCCGGATTCCATTATTTCATGTACCGCAGCTCAACTGAGTCACGGAAAAAATCAAAGAAATGTAAAAAATCAAGGGAATATAGCAAAATAAATCAAAATGACCCCAAACTTGGAATATATCATGTACTTATCAGATCAAGGCAACACAAAAACCGGATCGAAAAAAAAAAAAATAAAATTCTTTGCCGAACGCGCCAGGAGGATGGCGGCTGGCAAAGTCAGCGCTTTGCCGATCACGACGGAGTGGCAATGGCAAAGGTGACGGTGTGGATGGCGTCAACCATGGCCTGCCTTTGCCGATCGCAATTCTTTGCCAACTGCCTGGCGGTCGGCAAATCCATGGCTTTGCTAACCGCCTGGCGTCGGCAAAAAGTCGAGCAATCGGCAAATCTCGCTTTGCCGATCGCAGGAAATTCCAGTTGGCAAAGGGACCTCTTTGCCGAAGTGTCGAAAAAAAAGCAGTTGGCAAAGAAAATTGCAGTCGGCAAAGAGCCAGTTTCCTGTAGTGTATGCTTGTTAAGTTACAAAACAAAAAAAAAAGCATGCTATATTCTTGTTAGGTATAGGGGAAAAAAAGAAGAAGAAGGATATATAAAATTTTGACCGAGATGACCTGATGGAGTCATGATACGATTAGCTGACACACAGATGCTAATAAGGAAACATCACATCAAGCTATATATGTATGTGCACTTGCAGAGCTATATATAACTAATAAGAGTGTTCTTTCCACCACCAACAAGCAAGCAATATCCAACAGGCAAAAGCAGAGCATCCTCCAACCAAATGGCACCAACCCAGTCCGAGGACAACAATCCTTCAGCAGAGTACAAGCTGAAGAAGTACCTTCTTCTACTGGCCACTCTGGTTGTGGCGGTGACATACGTTGCCGGCCTCAACCTGCCAGGAGGAGTCTGGCAGGACGACGACACAAAGGATGCTCATCACCTCGCCGGTGACCTAATCCTTTTGGACACCCACCATGGCCGATACCTCACCTTCTACTACTGCAACGCGACTGCGTTTGCGGCCTCCGTCGTGGTCTGCCTGCTCCTCCTCATCCTGCAGGAGGGCAACAACGGAGTCTGTGGAACTGTGCTCCGGGTGGTCATGGTTCTCGATTTACTTGGACTCATGGGGGCCTACGCCGCTGGAAGCTGCCACGATGCTTTCACAACCATATACTCCACACTGGTAATGTCTGTTGTCTTGGCCTATGCCGTGCTTACTTTCTCGCTTTATATCATCTCCAAGCTAGAGAAATGTAAAGATGATAAGCAGCAGCAAAAGGAGGATCATGAGAGCCAGAGCCCGAGCCAGAGCCGGGAAGAAAAGGACGAGGTCGCAAGTAGCGAGGTCTTGATGCTACTTGCGACCTTTGTTGTTACCATCACATATGGGGGTGGGCTAAGCCCACCGGGTGGCTTCTGGAGCAACGGCCACCGTGTGAGCCTCCCAATTCTGCCGGACCACAGCTCCGCCCGCTACCAGGCGTTCTTTGTCTGCAACACAACTGCGTTTGTCGCCTCCCTTCTCATCATCATGCTGCTCCTCGACAAGAGGCTCAAGAAGGAATTGTCTGTACGGTCCGTTGCACTGTACGGGCTCATCGTCGTCGCGCTCTTTGGCCTCGTTGGGGCCTATGCTGCTGGGAGCTGCAGAGAGATTGATACTACTATCTACGTAGTCTCTCTGATCGGCGCAGTTCTTGCATACATCTTCCTCCAAGTGGCGATTACTAGAGCCGCTCAACGATGTCGTCAACCAAGCACAAGGGAAATCAATGGCTCGCCAGGAACACCCAATGTACCACATGGGCCACCTGGTAGCAGCAGGTATATATATATGACGACCACAAGCCTCTTCCCTAGCTTCTCTATGCCAGCAAGTCAAGTTTTCTTTGCTTTTGCACGGCAGTCCAATAACATTTTTCGTTGCTGGTAGTCACACGAACAATAAAACAATAGGGAACAAAAATAAATAAGTCACAAATCTCTCTAAATAGATCACCGAGAGATAGATAACATTTTCCAAAAAAAAAAAAGAATTGATACTAGTTTCATATTTTTATAATTTGAAATAATTTACTTATGATTTTTTAGATATTAAACAAAAATTTTATTATGTTTAGAAAATAGAAAAACCAACTTGGAAACCAGCTAGGGGGTGAAATTTTGTCTCGATAGTTGGAGTGTATCTAGTACCTATTCTTGTAGTTCAAGGTTGGAGATCGAATTGTTATGTAACTTAGTAGTTGAAGTTTGAAAATTGAACTTTACCCTTAATATCTATATACGTCTGAATTAGCAGGGATAGAGGACAAGATGATGTAGGACTTCCACTCAAAAAAGATGTTGGACTGGAAAAGGCTCATGATCTTGTTATTTTGCTTGCTACCCTTGTTGCGAGTGTCACTTACCAAGCTGGACTAGATCCACCGGGCGGTCTGTGGTCAGACAACCAGGATGGCCACCATAAGGTTTGTGATCCGGTACTCCTCACAACAGACCCTCAGCGGTACAAGGTGTTCTTCTACAGCAACTCAGCAGCATTTGTGGCATCCTTGGTTCTCATCCTTATGGTGAAGTGCGAATTCCTAGTTATGCGCCGCTCACTGGAGGCAGCCATGTTAGTGGATCTGTTTGGACTCATAGTTGCATATGCCGCAGGGTGCTGCAGGGATGTGAGCACCTCCATATATGTCGTCGCCTTTTGGCTGGTGCCATCCTTGTCTACGTGGTGATTCATATCATCTTCTTCACACTAGACAAAGACGACAAACATGGAAATGCTCATGAGTTGGACAGTAAACGGGAGGTGTTGCTGCTCCTTGCAATCTTAGCTGCTACAGTCACTTACCAAGCTGGGCTGACCCCGCCAGGCGGCTTCTGGTCAGCGGATGACGAGTTTGGTCATCGTGCAGGATTCCCAGTCCTTCTCAACAACTACCCTGACCATTACCAAGCCTTCTTCTACTGCAACGCCACGAGCTTCATGGCGTCCGTGGCCCTGATTGTCCTGCTAGTGAACCCAAACCTGTACATGCCAGGCATACAGTGCTATGCGTTCTTTGTGTGCATGGTTGTGGGCTTGTTTGGATTAATGGGCGCATACGCTGCAGGAAGTTCCCGGCAACTGCAAACTTCTATCTATGTCTTGGTATTGTTTGCTCTGGTTTTCACTTGTGTAACCTCGTGGGTGGTCATTCTCTTGATTGGACGACTTATGGAACATCGTCGTCATAATAAAGGAGATGGGCCATCTGTTGGCGATGGAGGCGTAGCCCGCACTGATAATACTGATGCAGCCCCTGAACAAGACAACGACAAGGAGGAGAAGAAGAAGGAGGAGGAGAAGAAGAAGGAGTACTTGATGCTGCTAGGAGTCCTGGCAGCGAGTGTGGCATACCAATCTGGTCTGAAACCACCAGGTGGCCTCTGGCAGGACAACAAGGATGGTCCGTATGGACACTCTGCAAGCAACTCAATCCTCCACGACATTGACAAAAGTCGTTACCATGCTTTCTTCTATAGCAACTCCACTTCATTTATGGCGTCCATCGTCATCATTGTCCTGCTGCTTCCATTGCATGATGAGTTGCCGCTACGCCCACTGCATATGGCCATTTTGCTAGATTTGGTTGCCCTCCTGGTTGCTTACGCAGCAGGCAGTACCAGAGACTGGGAGATGTCTAGGAATGTCATTGCTCTGGTAATTCCCTTGCTAGTCTATATTGCATCCTACGCAGTATACACCTGGTACCGACGAACAAAGTGCAGCGACAGCCGACAGCCAAGGCCTGCCGACAGCGACATGACAAAAGTTCAGCATGGAGGCAATACCAATGATGTGGTGGAGAACTTGTCGTAATGCAATTCTCTGTTCTGAGTCGTAATTTTGCCCACCTGCCGTTGCACGTGTATTAAGATGTAGACTTGCGTATTCAGAAAATATTGTTCCTGGTTTATGTATACTAACTAGTCCTCAATGTATGAATTCAAACTAGCTGATCGGGTTATATATTAAACTAGCAAGGGTATGGTGATCTTGAGGCTTGTTGTTGTTTTTGGACGGGTGGGGGTGTGTTGTCTATGGCATTGATGTTGATTAACTCTCCGCGAGGGTATGGTGGTCTTTGTTGTGTCATCGGCGGAGGTCGGGTTGGGATCATTGCACCTTCGTCTTCATCCTGAAATCTCATGCGCTTTCTGTGGTACTTTTCCATGACCTCATGCGACTCTATGACTATTGAGGCTGGTCTTCTTGAGAGCCAAGAGGAACAGGGTCCTAATCTTAGGCCGTTGATCGCTGTGAGGATGACAGCCTCATCGGTTATGTTTGGGGTGCGAGTCCTCAGCTGAATGAACCTTTGCCAATATTCTTGCAAAGGTTCCTTTCTCCCTATTTACAGCCAAACAGATCCATCGGATCATTGGGTGCTATATTGATGCCTTTGAAATTGGAGCATAGTTTGTCGCGGAGGTCGCCCTAGGATTCGTTGGAACCTAGTCAAAGGTTGGCATACCAACATTGAGCGATGTCTCGGGCTAGCCATGGTGGCCTCGTCGCTGAGCTGCGATGACTGCCTCGTAGCTCATGATGAATTGCCGATGGTCGAACTTCCCATCATACCTTGGGAGATTTTGGGGGTTTTAGGCTAGTCGCTGTTGACACCTGTGGTGGCATACAAAGACAAAATCCACAAGCGCACGGGTATCGAAGTAGTTTTCACCCAGAGTATTATCGAGTATCGTATCCACGGGAAAACGTGTGTGTTGTCTAATAACAAGTTTGTACAGGGATAGCAATCAAGGTTTAAGGTATGAGTAGAAAGGATTTCTATGGTTATGACCATATACAAAGCAAGGCTTATGATTCTAATGTTCACTTTGGGACGTCGCTTGGATGGTAAAGCACTGCTAATAGATAACTCTACCAACGCGACTACGGTCCTACTAATTTAATAACCTGCTTCATTCGGCGTGGACTACAAAGGATAGACGGGGCTATCACCTCCCGCTGCTATCACACAACCAAGAAGCAGGGAGCAAACACAGGTAGTTGATAGCCTAAGCACCACGCTTATGTTAACGATTACTACTCTGATCCAGATATCTAACAAGGACTAGAGCACTCAAAAGAATTGTGAAACCGTGAACAAAAGAGCACAAAACTTACTGCAAATAGAAATCAATTACCAGAGGTATCTTAGATGTAGACATGGAGAATCCTAGATCCGCCAAAGTACAAGCCATAGAGGTAGCACCGATAGGCCGATACTTCCCCCAAACTCTTCCCTTACCCTCTCTCTATTTGTGTACAAAGAATAGATCCTAACTAGAGGACTAATCTCTCTTAAATGCGATGCCCTGATCCTGAGATGAGGATATGAATTAGGGTTTTAGGAGGGCTCTAGGGAGGGGGGGGGGTACAGGTGTAAGGTCGAGATGGTGACTAGAGGGGGGGGTGAATAGTCTTTTCTAAAACTTAATCGCGTCGGCTAACCGATATAAATGCGGAATTAAAACAATCGGTCTAGCCAAGACTATACCCCTCTATATATGTTCACTAGCACCTTGCAAAGATAACAATTATGCAACTAAGGTGCCGGGCTAGCTAGAGCTCTCCTAATCAATTCTAGGAGCAAGGTCACACAAACCTATGCCACTAGTACTTGAAGCTATGAGGAAGCTCCTACACATGCTAGTAAGCAAAAGCACAAAGCTAACTAAGCTCACTAGCAATGCTCAATAACAAAGCAACCAATACCTAATTAGAGAGCGCAAATACTTAGCTACACAAACTAAGCAATGTGACTAAAAAGGTTACTCAAACCAAATTAGCCACGTAAGGGAGCTACTTCTATGCTACACAAGCAAGAAGGTAATTAGCAAGCTACACAAGCTATCTAATTACAAGAGCAACTACACAAGCTTAATATATATAAATGTAATTGCAAGCTTGTGTAATGGGGATGCAAACCAACGGGAAGAACAAGGTTGACACGATGATTTTTCTCCCAAGGTTCACGTGTTTGCCAACACGCTAGTCCCCGTTGTGTCGACCGCTCACTTGGTGGTTCGGCGGCTAATTAGCATCACCCGCTAAGCCCGCACGTCGGGCGCCGCAAGAACCTACCCTGGAAGTGAGGGTAGCTCAATGACACGCTTTTACTAGAGTTGCTCTTCGTGGCTCCCGCGGGGCGAGCACAAGTACCCCTCACAAGCACTTCTCCGGCGCCAAGACAAGCTTCTTGCGGGCTTCGACGGAGACCACAACCAAAGCTGTCTAGGAGGTGGCAACCTCCAAGATTAACAGCACCACCACCGGCTTGCAACACGACCACCTAGTGCCACTCGATGCAACCTCATGATGCAATCGCACTAGAATCGCTCTCTCATACTATCGGATGATCACTATCATGTATGTGTGAGATGGAGGGCTCCAAGCACTACCACACAAGCCACCAAGGCTATAGTGTGCTCAGCTACAAGCCCAAGGCCGACCATGGCCTCTATTTATAACCCCACGAACAAATAGAGCCATTACCCCTTCACTGGGCAAAACTCGGGACGACCGGACGCTCCGGTCCGATCGACCGGACGCTAGACTCGGCGTCCCGGTCGATGCACGCCACGCCACGTGTCCCTTCCTTCAAACGCTGTTTGCTAGATCTCAACGGTCATCTATCGACCAGACACTGAGCCTCTAGCGTTCGGTCATTTCCAGTATGGTACCAGACATGACCGTATGCATCTCTGTTGCTACTGACCGGACGCAGGACCCCAGCATCCGGTCACCATGTGACCAGCGTCCGATGCACTGTGTGAGACCCTGTCTTTTCTAACTAGGGCACCGGTGGCACCGTCGGACTGTCCAAACTCTACGGGCGGACACTCCACCGGTGGAGTTCCTAACCCTTCTCGCCACCATTCCATCGCCGAGTTGATCCACATCAACTCCAACTTCATTTCCTTTGTAAATGTGCCAACACCACCAAGTGTACACCACCATGTGTATGTGTGTTAGCTTTTCACAATCATTTCCCAACCGGTCCATCAAGCCAAGTCTTGTCTTGATCTTCTCCACCTTGATCACATGACTCAATGTCATGTCTCATGTGCAATAAACTCCTTCATCATCACATGTCTGAGCTTTGCAACATCACTAAGCCATTTTCACCTTCATGGCATATGTTGCTCACACACATGTACCTGTGGACTAATCACCTGTGTATCTCACATAAACACAATTAGTCCACCTAAGTTGTCACTCAATTACCAAAACCAAACAAGGACCTTTCAATCTCCCTCTTTTTGGTAATTGATGACAACTCTACAAAGATATGTAAATTAAGCACTTTTGGATTCATGTTGTTGGCCCAAGCAATTTTACCATGTGTAAATGATTTTGGACAAGTACCACAAACCCAAAATGGTAGTATTAGCTCCCCCTACATATATGCTAGAGTATTTAAATTGAACCTTGCACATATGCATAGATTGAAATGGTGGGAGAGTAATTACTACCGAATGATGCTAAGGTGTATATAATAAACCTTTGAAGCGTGATACCAATCAGAGTTGCACCTTTAAGTTCATCCTTAGCACCATGGTTAGCTAGATAACACTTGGAAATAAAAATCACTAGATACCTCATGAGATCAACATTAAAAGCAAGGTACTAGTATTACTTGAAAAACATACCAAGTGTCTAGCTATCATCCTATGCATACTAGTTATCCAATCATCATTCAAGTTCTATAACTAGCATACACCACACAAGCATGCATATTTTATTTAATAACTTATGCAATGCAAGCAAGCACATGAATATGCACATATCAAATGCAATCATTCAAAGTTCATGAGCTTGCTCCCCCTACTTGTGTGCTGCTCTTGTCCAAGAATTTGATCCTTTTCTTTTCTCCAATGTTGCTCCCTCTTTGTTCATGTCCATGTCCTATCTCTTCCTTTTGTACAATCTTAAGATTTTCATATCTTTCTTATGTTTGTACAATCTCTCCCCCATATCTTTCATATCTTTGTACAATTTCTCCCCCTTTGGCATCAATTTCCATAAAAGGTATGCTTCTTATTGATGCAAAGGTATGCATGTTGGGGTATATGGTTGAGACTTAAATCTTGCATTTTTGATGGACATTACTTGATTGTTGGAAAGACACTACTTGTAGATACCATTTTTATGTATGGGTCATCCATTTTATATATTTGAGCTCTTGTAGGTGAGGGATGCATCTTTCATTTGATGATTACTTAAAGTCTAGGGTCACTTGTGGAACCATCTTTTTGCATGATTGATATCACTTGTATGATAGATGCCATATGTAGATGTGATACCATTTTAAATAATTTTCTAGTTTGGAACCACTTGTTGGATTTATCAATTTTGACCATTTTCTTGAACATTTGCTATCTTTACGAGTACCACTTATAAGATATCTTTATGATGTGATACCATTTTATGATTCACTTGAGTCTAGATACCACTTGAAACATTCAAACTAGATATCCATTTGCATTGTTGTCTTGTGCTTGTACTCTTATTATTATTCAAACTAGACACTCCGCCGGTGGAGTTCCTAACCCTTCTCGCCACCATTTCCATCGCCGAGTTGATCCACATCAACTCCAACTTCATCTCCGTTGTAAATGTGCCAACACCGCCAAGTGTACACCACCATGTGTATGTGTGTTAGCTTTTCACAATCATTTTCCAAAGGGTTAGCCACTCAACTTGCCACGCCACTCAATCCTAGCGATGATGCAAAGTTATATCACTCGAGTGGCACAAGATGACCGATATGCAAACAAGTTTGCTCCTCTTGATAGTACGGCCATCTATCCTAA